TCTCTCTCTCCCCTGCCCCCCATTTTAGCCTTAAGTGCATTGTGTAATACTAATATACTAATTTTTTCATTTTCTGTTTTTATGGGATATATGATCACACTATGTGAAGATGTGTCACTGTTTTAACTCACTTGCCCAAGGCACCTTCTGATCAGTTTAATAAAGAGCTGAACAGCCAATAACTAGGCAGCAGAGGATAGGCAGGAGTTCTGGGGATAGAGAAGACATGAGAAAAGAATCTGAGAGGCAGGCAATTCACTAGTGAAGAAAGTTGCATGTCTGGTACTGAGGAGAAGTAACAAGCCATGTTGCAGAATGCAGATTAATAATATAAATGGCTTAATTTAAGTTTTAAGAGCTAGTTGGGAACAAGCCTAAGGTAAGGCCAAGTTTTCATACTTAATAAGAAGTTTCCGTGTTATTATTTGGCGGTCCAAAAGAAAGTCCAACTACATTGTATTTATTTAAGTGTTTCAGGAAAATATAATAAAACATCCAAGTGAAAGTATAAATACTACCACTAGAGGACAAATATTTCATTTGGGAGTTAAGCAAACTGACTGGTAGGAAATTCCTGATATTCAGTTACTATATGAAGCTCTAAAGCTAAAGGAAGTGACATAGTTTGAGGGTAGCAGAGCAAAAGATGAGGTACCACAGGATTCTCAGATGGCTAAAAGTACCCTGCCTGGCTATTTTGATTTAAAAATAAATGTGCAGGTTATGTGGCTCAGTGTATGTAATTTCTGCACTCTTAGAAGATGGAGGTAGGAGCGTCATCAGCAATGGATAACTAGTGTGTTCTAAGCTAACCTGGACCATGAGATCCGGTCTCAATGAAATAACAAAATATGAAAACTTAAGTAGCCTTGTCAAGAACTAAGAAAAACTACACAGTAAACACAGGCACAGAGAAAATGATTTATCCAAAATGTGACAATCTCTGTTTTAGAACTTGGTCTCGGTTCACAGACGAAATTAGCAAGTGGTAAATAATTTGATTCTGGACTTTGAATAAATAAGTAACATGGCATTAAGTGTGACCTGATAGATCAGCCCATCTGATGAGCTGACAGAATAAGGCTTCCTGATGCACACTACCAGCTCATGGTAAAGACTAGGACCTTCCCTGCTTGCTTCTTAGCTGGTGTCACCACATTACCCTCAGTCCACAAGAAAGTAGGGAGAAGCAACATCTGGAGTCCAGGAAGAGCTCAGTCACACTCGCTTTAAGCAGAGACAAGGGGATTGCTATTCTCAATAACTACTATTCAGGGAGAGTAAAATATTGGGAATTCAGAAAGACCCACTGTTGAGTCAGCAAGACACCAGCCACCTCTAGAGTCAAAATGAGTCAGAATGCAGTTACAAATTATATTCATTTAGGAAAGTGGCAGTAGTGGGTTCTTTTCTATGGTCTATAAACTCACCAGCCAAAGGTTCTCTTCCAGGGTCTAGGACCTCACCAGGCAAAGGTTCTCTTCTAGGATCTAAGACCCCACCAGGCAAAGGTTCTCTTCTAGGATCTAAGACCCCACCAGGCAAAGGTTCTCTCCTAGGGTCTAAGATCTCACCAGGCAAAGGTTCTCTTCTAGGGTCTAGGACCACATGAGGCAAAGATTATCTTCTAGGATCTAGGATCTATTGGTCAAAGGTTCTTAACCCTCACACTACCCCTCTTCCTATGCTTGTATCTAGTTCATGTCTATATTTTCTTCTATCAGTTGTAGCATTTTAGGTGTCATGTTGAAGTCTGGTGCATTTGGAGTTAACTTTTGTGCACAGTGATAATAAAATTCTAATTTCAGTCTTCTATATGTTGATACCTAGTTTTCTTAACCTCAATTATCAATATGCTACCTTCTCACCAGTGTGTATTTTTGATGTCTCTGCCAAGTACCAGATGGCTATAGTTACATGTACCATGTTCAGGTTTTCTGTTTTGTTCCATTGATCTGCCTGTCTCTTTTGTCCAGTGCCATGGTGTTCATATTTCTAAATATCTGCAATATAGCTTCAAATATAATATAACCTCTTGAAAGTTCTCTTTGCTTAGGATTGCTTTGGCTGTCTGGAGTGTTTTTATAGTGCTGTATGAATTTTAGCATAAGTTTTTCTATTTCTGTGAAAAATATCCTGGGGACTGAATCTATAAATTGCTTTTTGTACAATGGTCATTCTCACAATATTGATTCTACCAATCTATGAGCATGGAATATTGTCTTTCTATCTTTTATTGTCTTCTTCAACCATTTTTCTCCAGATAGTTAAAGATTTCATTGTAGAAGACTTTCACTGCCTTGGTTAGGTTTATTCTTATATTATGTTTTAAGATATTGTGATTTTGGTATACTGCCACTTTGCTGAAAATGTTGATAATTTCTAGAAGTTTTCCAGTGGAATTTTTGGGATCTCTTGTGTATAATATCATATCATCTACAAATGAAGATAATTTGTCTTCTTACTGTATTTATGTATTTTCAATTTTATTCTCTTGTTTTATTGCTCTAACTAGTGCTTTAAGCACTATATTGAAAAGGAGTTGGGATAATAGATAACCCTGTCTCATTTCTGAGTTTCATGAAATTGCTTTAAGTTTAATTAGCACCATTTAGAATGGTGCTGTGTTTATCCTACATAGCCTCTATTATTTTGAAGTACGCTCCCTCCAGTCCTCTTTCTCTAGGACTTCATAACGCATACATAGTTATACTTTTAGCTACAAGTATAGTTCTCATCCCTTCATAAAAGAAGCTTCATTTTCCAACAGATGGAGGCTATTACAGAAACTCACAACTGATCTAAATTCAAGAATCATTTGTCTGTGGAGTCCCTAACCACAATTGACACATCTACCACACAATAACTACACATAAGTTGCAAGGCACATCATAGAAGAAGGTGTTGAAAGATTATAAGAGCCAGAGGGCCAGAACTTCTGCTGCAAGATAGTGTCTTCCGTACATACCAGGAAGCTGCATCCTTGAATTCTCAAAAGTCTGGTTCCCTTAGCAAGACTTGAACAAGGAGTATACCAGCTGATGTACCAGTGTGGATAGGAGAAATCTCACAAGGATCCGCCTCTAAAAGAAGTGCTCCAGACAATGGCTGCAAAGACAGGGAGAATCAGTCTTCTCCATGGAAATACCTGAGAATTAGCCAGTCCCAAGTGGTCAACCCTAAACACAACAAATAAATAAGAACAACACTACATAGACTCAGCAAGTTACATATATACATACACACGCACACACACACTTATGTGTGTGTGTTTATGTGTGTGTGTGTGTGTGCGTGTGTGTGTGTGTGTGTGTGTGTGTGTGTGTGTGTGTGTGTGTGTAACAATAATTAGAGAAGAAAATGTCATGAATTTGAGAGGGGATGGAAGTAGCATAGAAGGAGCTAATGGAACAAGAGTTGGAAATGGTATAAATACAGTAGTCAGATATAATATTCTGAAAATATCATTTTACTTTGAAATTAAAAAAAAATAAGTCAGTCAAAGCTGGGAAGTAACAGCTGGCATGAAAGAGGAATGAAGGAATAGAAATAGAACACAGACCCTAACACTCTGTTGAAATACCTCAAAGATCTGTGCCTCCATTATTATACTTTCAGGACATTTTCATAAGTTCTCCTGCTTTCTGGCCACTATTAAAAAACTCAGAGTAATTTCTTATCTGTTCTTCCTATGCAGCTATCTTTGCCACAGAATGATCACATTTAGGATCTTTCTACAATCATGGATGCTAGAGTATTCTGGGAACTAACTTTGATATTTAGTTCTTAGCCTCCCTTGACATTTTCCTGTCTTTTATAGCAAAGTGTAGGGCACTGTTGTCTCTGTAGCTCACACATGGCTATCAGCACTATAGACTACCCTCCAAGTTATTGAACCAGCTCCTCTAAGTTAAATGATTCCTACTCATCTGGGAAACATGCTATTTTTTTTTTTATTGTACAGCCACTAGCTCACATTAGTCACTAGGGCAGAGCATATTGTTACCAGGAACTAGTTTTGAACATATCTTTTGATGACAAGCACCCATCTACCCAGAATATTGTCAGTGCTGGGTGCCAAGGGCTTGTTTCTTAACAAACTGAATGACATTAATTTCAGGGACTTTCGTTCTTTAGAAATCCATTTCAGTGGCTTTGTTCTCTTGCCAGCTTCAGTGACAGTCATGTTGAAATATTAGCATTGCCTTGGATATTGGGTAACAGAAACATAGCTTTCATCCTCTGACGATCCATCTGAGAGGATTCACCCTGGACACAGAGTTACTGTCATGACTGATTCAGCCTCTTACGTCTTAAAAAGTTTCGTAGGGATCACCTGGGTATCTGAAATGTATTGTTTAGAACCGGGAACCTGTTTAGCACTGGGAACATGTGCACTTAGCACATGCTCTCATGATGGACACTTAGGACATAATTGAAAGGAGAGGACCACAGGCAATGAATACAAAAAAGAAAAATACAGAAATATATCAATCAGAAACTCTAATAAAGTGTTTAGCTCCCCCGGAATTTGGTAATTGATTTTTCCCTATGCATTTTTTTACTGTTATTCTTAAACAATGATGAAAATTTGAAAGCATAAGTGGTCTCCATCTTCTAAGTTCATATCATATTCCTCCATCTGCTTTAAATCATGTAAACCACCATGTTTCCCTTCATACATGTATACTCACCCCTCGTTCCAATATCTATTAATATATTCTCACTAAGGTGTAAACATTTTTATTTCCCCCTTCATTTGAACAGCTAAGGTGAAAGGCTTTTTAATTAAAAATATTTAAGTGTGTGTGTGTGTGTGTGTGTGTGTGTGTGTGTGTGCGCGTGTGTGTGTGTGTTGCTTGTCTCCGTGTTTGTCTGTGTACTAGGTGTGTCTAGTGTTCTCAGAGAGCAGTAGAGTGTGTCTGATCCCCCTGAACTGGAGTTATAGATGGTTGTGAACCACCATGTGGGTGCTGGGAATTGAACTCCAGCCCTCTGGAAGAACAGCAAACATTCTTAATCACTGAGCCATCATCCTAGCCTCCCAAATTAAATTTTCAACAATAAAAAAATAAAACTATGAAGACACGAAAACAATTCAGAAATATGAGTTTTAGTGAATTGTATGTATATTTATGATCTAAATTTGACAAGTTATCCTGGCTAGTAGACTCATTTATGATGAAGGAGGGAACCCTTTCCACACTCAGCCCATTTGCTTCTGAAAGTAACTGCCATGCCTAGGGCTGAGTTGGTAACATGTTGCCCGCTCCTTCCCATTCCATGAGATAAATTACAGCAGCTCCATGTCTTGCTTCTGAAGATCACACAAACCAAAAGGGGACAGGCAGGGATGTTTCTGAACCTCCATTCGTCCCTCAGTTTCTTACAGGACAAGGCGATCCATGTTGCCCACTCTCCTTCACCCCCTTCCGCTGGCCCCTCATTCCACAGCTTTCTGGCCTGTCTCTGAAGCGGTTCCCAGTGTGGTCAGCAACAGCTCTGATTGCCACACTCAATTCCCACATCTCAGCTTGTTCTTTGACCCTGTCGACCAATTCTTGAACTATCTTCCCTCATTTCTGTAATCCCAGTCGAACTCTTACCAGGAAATGCTTGTGTTTATTACTTTCAAAATTCACTTTGAAAGGCTGACAACTACTGCAAGTTTCTACCATGTACTCTTGTCCTGCTTGGACCACTCTCCCGACTCCAACTCTTTTCTGTCTATCTCCCATTACCTGATGTGAATTCTGCTACTCTCTTGACCAGCAGGGGCAAATAAACACCTTCCCATCACTGTGACTTGCAGCCATAAACAGCACACTTTGGCATTTTCATAGTTAACTTGCTCTTTAAGGCATCATTTGAATTGTACTATGTAGCTGGAGTTATCTCCAGTCCCTCCCGGGCCCGCAGCCACTCGGACCCAAATAAACACACAGACGCTTATATTATTTAAACTGTTTGGCCTAATGGCTCAGGCTTCTTGCTATCCAGTTCTTACATCTTAAATTAACCCATTTCAATCAATCTATAAGTTGCCACATGGCTTGTGGCTTACCGGACTTTCACATCATGCTTCCTCTGTGTCTGGCTGGCGACTCCTGACTCAGCCTTCCTGTTCCCAGAATTCTCCTCTCTGCTTGTCCCGCCTAGACTTCCTGCCTGGTTACTGGTCAATCAGCATTTTATTTATCAACCAATCACAGCAACACATTCACAGCATACAGAACATAGCCACAGCAGTACCACATTTGCTAACCAATCTTTTTATGAACACAGGAACCCTAGAATTTAAGATCTCTAGGGTATCTTTAGGTTTTGTGACTCTGTGCTGTTTATTGTAACCATTTACTGCTATTGCTTAAGTGTGTTATAGAGATTAGCCCCTTGGGCTGCTTAATGTGAGACCGCTAGATAACCAAATATTCTAAAGGCAGAAATCCATCTTGAGTGATTATATGCTCATCAAAACAGTAACTTACACTTACTCACTCACATGTTCATTTATTTTCCTTAAAAATAATTGTTTAGGCTGCAGTTCATGCTTATAAATCCAACACTCAGAGCACTCAAGGAGATAGAGGCAGAAGAATCTCTGCAAGTTCAAGGGCAGCTTGGTCAACATTAGTGAGTGACAGGCCAGCCAGGGCTACATAGCAAGAGCCTGTCTCAAACAAATGAACAAACATTTACGTATGCAAATTTGTGTGTATGTGTATTGAACAGCAACCCATGCTAGATACAGTTCTGGCTATTAGAAGCATAGTATTATGCAAGACAGACGTAGTGTCTACTCCCAAGGGACCAGTCCAAAACAAACATCCCAACAACAACAACAACAAAAACCACCCAGAACATATTCAGTTGAACATGTAGGTTTTTTCAAAGCTCACCAACCCCACAAATGTTATACATCTGGTCAAGTTTAAATTCATCTCCTACAGCAAACACCTTGCTTCCTCTCTCTGTCATATCAACTTCAGTTCCATTTATGTGTTATGTGTCACACACACACACACACACACACACACACACACACACACATATACATGATTAATTGAATTTGGAGATTTATTTCTTGCAAAATAACTTTGAACTTATGAAAGAGTTGCAAAATAGAGAATTTCTGTCATCATTATCTTAGCTTTCTCTAATTTTTCATACTATAGAATATTTAAAATGCTGAGAAAATAACCTCAGCAGAACTCATTCAGATTTTAAGTTTTTTTTCTCATTAGCCTTTTTTTAAATAAAGGGCCTTTATTGTATTTATATTAGGTTAAAACAAACTATGTAACAAAACCCCAATATATCTCATTGTTTGTATAATATGGTTTGTAAAATGTTTGAAATATGGTCATAGTTATTTACATACTACCTTTGACTGCAGTTACTTAAGTGTTAGCAGTAATGGTTATAACAAATACCACAGAGTCACAAAACCTAAAATACTTGATACTTGATAACTTATATGAGTGTGTTCATCCCTGACTTAGACACATAGTTCTATGCTCATAAATATGTTTCTGTCAACAGGAGACCCCCATATGAATGTGCTTTTCTAAAGTTACAATGGAGTTGAAAACTTCATTATCACCCAGTGTTGTAACAGCCATCATGATGTCACATCTCATGGCGAGGCTGGAGAAAGTACCTACTGTGTTGCCAATTCTATAAAAGTATATGTGGTTATATGCAGTATATGTTACTAGATAATGGTAATAAATGATTGTTAGTGTTTATGCATTTCCTCTACTATATTTTTTTATCATTATTTAGAGTGTAGTCATGTGTAAGCAAGAAGGTTACTAGAAAATAATGTGCCCTGTACAATAGTGGCAGCCCCATACATCTCAGATTTATTATCTCCTGATTGCATGCATTTTTTTCATTTGTTTGAATTCTCTTGCCATTTTACTTATTGTGCCTCTAGTTGTACACTATTACCACTGCCAATGAGAATCCATGAAAACTGATGACCTGGGAATGAAGTGAAAACTAAGCTCTACAAATATAGAAAATTAATGTTTATTTCTCCACAACTCTAGCATTTTCCATCCACAATAGCTACTGCCTTGAAGAGTTAGGATAAAGTGCTGGAAGCTCTTCAAATTAACAAGATAAACAAAAAATGAAAAAAGGGGGTTAAAGTACATATGGAGAAAATTTTAATGATACATGCAGTGAAGATTTCACACAGACCCATATACTTCTAAGCATTATAAAGATGGCTGTCATCGCAAAAAAAAAAAAAATGTTGAACTGTTGATAGTAAGGACTAGATCCAATCTTGATGGTGAATCACTGCTGCCTCTGAGTGACTTATGACTCACAAGAACTGATATTCATCCCATAATGTAAAAGTGAATGAGAAGTGTATAGATGTTGACATGAAGGCAGCTAGAGAGTTTTTGGAAACTAGATGAGCTGACTGTGAAAACTGCTAACACAAATCTTCAATGTGGATGAAACCTCCCTATTCAGGGAATGGCAGACAAGCTACAGTTGACTATGCAATATGCTATACTGTGTAGGGTTGTATACATACAAACGATTGTTTTCATACAATGACAAAATCTTTTCATGACATATTTCTCAGAATATGTCCTCATTGGTAAGTATTTGATGTAATCCCACTCATCAATTCTTGAGGCTATTTCATGAGCTATTGGGATTCTGTCAGAAAATTTTTGTTTATATTGTCATCGTGAAGAATTCCGCCCATGTTTCCTCTAGAAGTTTCAGCATTTCAGATTTTTAAATTAAGATCTCTGATCTACTTTGAATTGATTTTTTAAAAAGGATCAGAGACATAATTCTAATTTAATTCTTCATTGGGTATATATCGAGTTTTGTCAACAATGTTTATTTAAATAGGCTACCTTTTTTTCTGGTTGGCAAAATTGGGAGTTTATAGCATGTATGGATTTGTTTCTGACTCCCTTATTCTGGTTTATTTGTCTAAATGTCTGTTTTGGGTCCAGTACCATGTTGTCTTTGTTATTATGGATCTGTAGTATTTTTAGGTGGCATTCTTTCTCTTTAGGATTGCTTTATTCATTCAGTCTTTTGTATTTCCATGTGAATTTTAGGAATTTTAATTAGCTCTGTAAGTAGTATCATTAGAGTTTTGGTGGGGTTATTTGGATCTATAAATGATTTCCGTAGCATAACCACTCTTATGAAGCCAATTCGTATAATCTAGGAGTATGACAGGTCTTTCTATCATCTAGTGACTTTTTCAATTTCTTTTTGTTGTTGTTGTCTTAAAATTTTTGTTGTAGAAGTTTTTCATTTCCCTTGGTAGGTACAGCTGTGTTTGAAGCCATTATAAGAGGTGTTTTCCTAATTTCTTTTTAGTAAATTGATTATTGTTATTATAGGAGAGCTATTGGGTTTTTTCTATGCTGATTTTGTATCCTTCAACTTAATGAATGAAAATGTTTATCAGATTTAAAAGTTTTTTTCTTGGAGTCTAGAGTATCTTTTAATTATACAACCTTGTCATCTGAAAATAGAGATGCTCCCTTCCCAAACTTTCCAAAAGAAAGATATTTCTCTTGCCTTATTGTTTAGCTGAGACTTGAAGTATCATATTGAATAAAAAAATTATTTATCAAAAGTACACTGTCCAGTCTCCAGTTAGTTTTTATTTTCTGATGTTATTCTTGCTACCAGTTCCTAGAGGATTGTTAATTTGTCATGATGTTAAATTACATTTTAAGCATGCCACCAGAAAGTCTCACTACAAGACATTTGCCCAACATATCTCCTACAGACCATTTCACCCACTGCTCTATGTCACTAGTAGCCTGTTGTCCTTCTCTTCAGCAGTGGTGAGGCAATCACTTCTCCTAGGATAAGAAATTTGCTTTTGCCTATAATAAAAAAAGTGTTGTAGCTCCCAGAAGAAAAGCTGTTGCCCTGAAAACATAACCATACAAGTAACATTATACAGACTGAGCCAGTTGGGTTTAGGGATGTATGAGTATGTATGTGTGTATATGTATGTATGTATGTATATATACACACATATATATGAACAATTAAATAAAAGAGACCAGAGGCCATGAATTTGGAAAAGAGCAAGGGGATACATAAGAGGTCTTGCGGGGAGGAGAAGAAAGTGGGACTGATTTTTGAGAAGGTTCTGCACGCTTCTGAGAAGAATGTGTGTTCCCTATCTATTGAGTAGAATACCTCATAAACATCTGTTAAAAACTGTTAATCTGTTAAACTGGCACCATTTAGCTAAATATTTGTATGCCAATTTCTAGTTTTGAAGGTCTGTCTCAGTTAGGGTTTCTATTGCTATGAAGAGACACCATGACCATAGCAACTCTTATAAAGGAAAACATTTCATTGGGGCTGACTTACAGTTCAGAGGGTTAATCCATTATCATCATAGCAGGAAGCATGGTGGCACACAGGCAGACATGGCACTGGAGAGTAGCTGAGAGTTCTACATCTGGATCTATAGGCAGCAGGAAGAGGGAATGAGATACTGAGCCTGGCTTGAGCATCTGAAACCTCAAAGCCCACCTCCAGTGACACACTTCTTCCAACAAAACCGCACCTACTCCAACAAGGCCACACCTCCTAATAGTGCCACACCCTATGGGCCTAAGGGAGCCATTTTCTTTCAAACCACCACAAGACCTGTCTAGATTTGAGAGTGGAGTACTGAAGTTTCCCAATATTACTGTTTAGGATTTATGTAGTTTTGTGCTTTTTAGCGTTTGTTTTATGAAGTTGGGCTCATGAATGAATATTTAAACTAATTATGCCCTTGATGAGTTGTTTCCTCTATTAATATGTAGTGCCCCCTTTATCTCTCCTAATTAGTTTTTAAGGTCAGATACGAGAGTCACGATGCTAGTTTATTGACTGTTTTTGTTTGTAAGATTGATATTTCAACCTTTATATTTCAGTTTGGAGATGCTTGTGAATTTCTTGGGGAAAACCTATAGTTGTATCTCGCAAGTTATAACCCGGTAACACTGCAAGTACAAAAGTATACATACTAAGATAATTAAAATATACGCATGCAATACAAATTAAAACTTTAAAAAATTAAAACAGTACAAAGACAAATGAGCAATGAAGCAAAAT